GTATACTANACTATATAGTATATACATATATATATATATATATATATATATATAATATTATATATATATTGCATATATGTATTAATATATACATTTATATATATATATATATATATGCAATAGAAAAACACAAAACAACAGGGGTATTTATAATAGGTATAGATATAGACATAGATATAGATATAGTTATATGGATATAAATAAACATATATATATATATACATACATAAACAATACAAAACCACAAATACCAGAGAAAAATCTATATCAGGTATACATAGTATGAAACGTCAGAAACACACACACTCCAGAGTTGAGCCATCTCCGGTGAACCTTATACCCTGTTATATAAACTATCAATAGTGGTACACTTTCCATGTATACAAACACAAACATTCATACACACACACACTCACACACACACCATAGGTGCGCCTTTTCCTCTGGTATAGACTGTATGATTTGACACGCGGTCGCGTACGAGCCCCACGCCACTACGACTGTCGTCTGATTCGTATCGAGCCAGCCACAGAGCACCGATGTGTGCAGACTTGAGCTTCGAGATTTTCTCAATGTCGAGCATTTTGTTCAGAGGCTGTGTGATGGGTAAGGGTATGATATTCAAATACTTTAGCAGTACAATCGCATTGTTACCGAGCAAGCTTACTTAAAGGCTTGATGAAGGGGCAGTATAAGGTCGGAGTAGACTCAAGCTATGACACCTCCTTGAAGTAGACCAGTTTGAGTGGTGACTATAAAGACGGACAGTGCCCGGTGCGAGCGCACTCGAGTTCTGGAAGCTCTAATAGCAAGTCAGTTATGTAGTGGAATAGAAGTCATCTGATGCGCATATGTGAGGTGACACAGCATTTCGACTTGCCTCGGTTACAGGAAGTAAAACCAGATGACTCAAAAATGCTTACCAGAGCATTGACTAGTTGCCCTGCCCCGTTCTGAGGATCATTGGCTTCCCTCTCCATTTCAGCGTGTGCGGCCAATTCTAACTCCACGCGTTTTTTCATCTCCGCCACTTCGGATTCCAGCGCTGCGCTATCGACCTGCGAGTTTTTTATGAATATAAAAATAGAAGAACCTTTGTGCTCGTATACAAATTTATAACAATCGTCTCCGAAGGCGCCCCCTCACGTGCGCACATAGAGATATATGT